AGGGTGAAACTCAACAGAACTCTGTTTTAGGGTAAAGATCTTGGGGACCACAGGAAATTTACTTGTGGGCATATTCTGAGGAAAGCCCTCTGCAGAGGTATGTGTTCTTTTATCTTTGCAGCATCTACTTAGGAACAAAATGGGAGGCAGTTTTGCATGACTCAGTTCTCAGGCTTACCCTTTCCCTTTGAGATAGTGAGGTTGGGGTCTCAAGATTTTCATTTTTCTTTCACACTCACCAGCTGGATTTTAGCTATAAACTGGTAATCACTGTGTGTTGTTTTCCTTTCTCTCCTTTTCCAAATTGTTTTCACTGCAGCCACCCTCTTTTCCCTTCGCCATTGTAAACTGGGAATATGAAGAGTGGGAGGGGAGGGGAGAAGAATTAAAATACATACTTATGTATAGTTTTCCAAACCAGAGAATTGGAGCTGGATGCAATAACTGGAGAGTCTAGGTTATCTGTTTTTAGAAAGCGGATGGGTTTGTTTTCAATCATATATTAAATAGCTGCATGACAAAGTAGTATATTTCAGAATCATATATATAAGAGAAGGTTGAATATATATTCATATATATGAATAAAGGCATTGCAAGGTGACTCCCAATGATCCCTGCCTCCTGGTATTTACACATGTGAAAATCTCTACATTTAGTTTGGACTGGACCTAATAGCTTGCTTCTAGTGAATAGAATATAGCAAAAGTGATGAGATGTCACTTCTGAGCTCGGGTTATAAAAACTGTAACTTTTGAGAGGCCGAGGTAGGCAGATCACGAGATCAGGAGATCGAGACCATCCAGGCCAACATGGTGAAACCCCATCCCTACTAAAAATACAAAAAAATTTGCTGAGCATGGTGGCGCATGTCTGTAGTCCCAGCTACCTGGGAGGCTGAGGCAGGAGAACAGCTTAAACCCAGAAGTCAGAGACTGTAGTGAGCCGAGATCGCGCCACTGCACTATAGCCTGAGCGACAGTGCGAGACTCCATCTCAAAAAATAAAAATAAAAAACAAGAACTGTGACTTATGTCTTGCTTACACTCTCTCTGGCCCTTCTTGCTTGCTCTAATAAAGCAAATCACCAAGTTGTGAGCTTCGCTATTAAGAGGCCACATGCAAAGAACTGAAGGAGATCTCCAGTCAATAGTCAAGAAAAAACTGAGGCCCTCAGTGCAAAAGACACTGATGAACTGAATTTTGCAACAATCATGTCAGTGAGCTTGAAAGCAAATCTTTCCCCAGTTGAGCCTTTAGATAAGACTCAAGTCCTGGTCAACACCTTGTTTAGAACCTTGTGAGACTGTGAAACAGAGGACCCAGCTAAGCCATGCTTGGATTCCTGACCCACAGAAAATGAGTGATAACAATTATTGCTGTTGAAGCCACTATGTTTAGGGTTATTTATTATGCAGCAATAAGTAACTAACACATATTACTACATAAGTAATAACACAGCAATAAGTAACTAACACTAAACAGCGCAAAATAGACTATAGTATATATCTATCATTTTTTTGTCTGCCCAGAATCAAATGACATATTTTCTTATAAATATACATTTATTTTCCTTTAAGAAATCATTCCTTCCACTATTCTCAGTGACTGGCTAGATGGGATTGACTCATCTTTCTCTGCCTCTCCCTGTCTAAATACATTTGACTCAGGCTCAGCATATAAAATCCAAGGCTGAGATCTCTCCTGAATTACTGGGAAAAAAGCAGTCTTTCTGCTGAACTTGAAGTTGGTAGAATGAGCCTGGAACTACCAAGGCCACAAAATAGAATCTTTCTGAAAACTAAGACAATTACAGAGAAAAAGAGAGTTGAGGAAGAGAAAGAGATGAAGTCCTCTTGGCATTATTTAAGCCTCTGAACTAGTAATGTCTCTCAAGTCAGTCTATCTCGTAACTTCACATGAATCAATAAATTTCCTTTTTTCCTTCATTTTTCACTTTACATCAATTTCAGCTAAATTTATGGAAAAAAAAATTTTTCAAGGTGCTAATCTAGGAGGTCCACAAAAACAAGGACCAAATCTGTCTTATTCACTACTGTATTCCTCCTTGCTTAGCCCAACCCCTGGCAAGTAGGGACCACTCAATAGATATCCATTGAATGGTGAATACAATCATTCAAAGAAGAAACAGTGAATAGGCCTAACTCAGCAAAAATGCAGTCAAATGTTTTATAATCATGGAGAAAGTAAAACCCCTTTTAAAAAATAAAAATAATGTTCTAGTTTAAAACTTTAAATATTTATTTATAAATATTATTTTAAACACAAGGATAATTTAGATTAGATAAGCCAGTTGAGCATTTCCACAGTTCATTTTATTTCACATAAAAATCCTCTAATCGCTAGGATAATTCCTTTTTACTATAAAAGAAGAACTCCTATTTCTAGATATATTCTCATGTTGGGGCACTTCTGTAAGGCCAGAACTTATTTTAGCAATACTATATTAGCTATAAATATAATATATCCCAGTTAGTTGATTAGAACTCACAATGGATTCTATGTCATATATAGACTATTATAATGTTTCAGATGCCAGGTTAATTAGAAGAAATATATATTTACACCATCATCTAGATCGTAAATCCTTCTTTAAGGAAATACAGAAGATAGAGGGGTGTGTCAAATCACCCCATAAAGATACAATCAGCCAAGTCCAGACTGAGAAACTATACCAGACAAATTACTTGGTTTTTCAACAGAAAAACTGCAGGGCAAGAAACAGAGATAGAAAGGGAATTTACAGTCATCTACAGACTAAAAGAGACTTAAAAGATACATCAGCGGGGCACAGTGGCTCACACCTGTAATCCTAGCACTTTGGGAGGCTGAGGCAGGCAAATCACCTGAGGTCAGGAGCTCGAGACCAGTCTGGCCAACACAGTGAAGCCCCATCTCTACTAAAAATACAAAAAATAAGCTGAGTGTGGTGGCAGGCACCTGTAATCCCAGCTACTCGGGAGGCTGAGGCAGAGTAATTGCTTGAACCCAAGAGGCAGAGGTTGCAGTGAGGCAAGATGGCGCCATTGCACTCCAGCCTGGGTAACAGAGAGAGACTCCATCTCAAAAAAAAAAAAAAAAAAAAGATACATCAACCAATTGCAATATGTAAACCTGGATCCTGATTCAAACAAACTTTTGTGGCATGTAGGAAAAAACTGGACATTTAAACACTTTGTGGATATTTGATAATGTTAAGAAATTATTTTTATATGGTATGATAATGGTAGTGTGATTTTGTTAAAACATAGTCCTTATCTTTTAGTTATATATACTAAAATATTTACAATGAAATACAATGTCTGAATTTGGGGAACAGGGAATGTAGATGGGACATGGACCAGACAGGCTTAAGTATGAATTGATGATTTTCAGGGCTGAGTACATGGGGATTCATCATACTACTCTGTGTGTGTTTAATATTCTCTAAATAAAAAGTTTTACAATTTTAAAATAAACAGAACAAAGGAAAGTATAATACATTTAATTATTAGAAATCTAGTGACAATATCATCCAAATTTTAAAATCTGGATACCTGGGCTAACAGAATATTTGAATAGGCCTGCACAAGAAATCACATGATATATGCTTCTAAATTTTTATAGTAATAATACGAATTATGAATACTGAAGAAAGAGGCAACTGATACAGAAAAAAGGAAGAGGAGGAAGGTCGAGCCTTCTTTTTCAGAGGATTTGCGTCGGCACATTGGACTTTAGTCTTTTCCTTGTACCTTTCTTCAACTAATTATTAATATATTAAGTGCAAGGCACTGGGCTAGAGGCCCTGAAGGAGAGATAAAGATGAGCCATGAGGATACTTGTGCCCTCTCACTGATGTCCTGTGACCTGTAAAACATTTCCCCCCACTTCCCATTGCCACATTCCAACCTTCTCGTATTAATCTACAAAATATTTGACTTCAAAATGTTCTTCTGATGGCATTGAGGATACACTATTCCAAAAAAAGGCACTATGGCATACTGAATAAGCTAAAGGAATTTAATAAAACTAGAGCAGCAGGAGATCACTCTGACCTTCCCCTACTCTTCTTCCCAACACAGGTCATAAAACCTAGGAAGGATTTTCTGACCTTTCCCTGAAGCAGGTCATAAGACTCTCATATGAGAGGTGCCCTCCCTATACCCAGAGGAAAGTTATATTCTTATTTCTGAAGACACAGGGACACAGAGAAGAATCTAAACACACAGGCCTTGCTAAATTTCCCCCAGCTTATTACCATAAGATCATATCTTTTTTGCCCTATTGTGTATCGCCACAACTGTCTACTCTTCATCAAACCTGCATAAAAGCACATGGGTTTAACTGTTTCTTCAGGTCTTCATTTCCTCAGGAAGGCTCTGTTATCATGTAAAACTTACATGGAATCAGTTAATATACTTTTTTCTTGTTAATGTATCTTTTGTTACAAGGACGTCAGTCATGAACCTAGGATGGGTAGAGAGATTTTTCTTCCCCTATACTTCCTAATTCCCAGTAAGAACTTCCTATACCATTTTCCCATTTTGACTCTCCTTAGGTAATTCTTAAAAGAAAGAAAATTTTTTAAAATCAGGTTAAATAAGTTATCCAATTACAAATAAGTAAAACAATTAACCCTGTCAGTAACTGGCAGATTAGACCTGCCTTGGAGTCAGCTCTAGGAGTTAAATCCAATATGTTCCTATTTGTTACAACTTCTTATCTCCTTTCCTCACTGAATCCACATATTTCCTCAAGGTTTCCAATTTCATTGTCTTTGTCCTAAACATATTAACGGAAGAGCTTGGGGCATTCAGGTTCTATATCTGTGAAAGGTTCTTTCATCAGAAAAAGCAACTAATGGCAGAGTTAAAATAATTCTAATGTGACTGAACTTTTATAAGCTTGACTAAATATAATTATGAAGATAACTCCATATTCTGTACAGTTAACTAATACGAAAAGAAGTAGGTTTAATCAACCTTGGAACATAATCATACCTGCATGGTCCTTCTTTTAGTTAATGTTACTTGAAAATTTTTCCACTCCCAATGTTGTTCCACCACATGTGCAAAAACAACATGTCCATTTCCACAGGCTCCAGCAATCTGAGTGCCATCAATAGACCATGCGATATTAAATATGCTGCCAGTGTTGGGTTTTTCTAATGCGTATGACCACTGGGGAAGAAAACACAAGAAAAAAATTGACATTGAAAAAAAAATTTTAGGAAGTTTTAAATCAGGCATGTGACAACATATTAGGTCATTTTAAAAATAATATCTGTTTATTCTGGAATTATGAAACACTACATGAATACTATTTTATATATTATTGGAATTTTTCTCAATAAAATTATATTGTACTGAATAGAAAATACAGATATAATTGTTAAAGTCCATAGTAGAACATCATGATAAAACAGTGTATGAAAATATCTCAAGAACTGTAAAAAACCCACATCATTTTAATGTGTGTTATTGCTTTTAAGTAATAACACTTAATAGGTAAACATAAAGATTCTTTAGAAAAAACAGACATCTTGGCCGGGCGCGGTGGCTCAAGCCTGTAATCCCAGCACTTTGGGAGGCCAAGGTGGGTGGATCACGAGGTCGAGAGATCGAGACCAACCTGGTCAACATGGTGAAACCCCGTCTCTACTAAAAATACAAAACATTAGCTGGGCATGGTGGTGCGTGCCTATAATCCCAGCTACTCAGGAGGCTGAGGCAGGAGAATTGCCTGAACCCAGGAGGCGGAGGTTGCGGTGAGCCGAGATCGCGCCATTGCACTCCAGCCTGGGTAACAAGAGCGAAACTCCGTCTCAAAAAAAAAAAGAAAAGGGAAAAACAGACATCTTAATATTCATTCTTAAGGCTGCATATAGTCTTCACACCTAAAAATTTCTCATTACAATATTTTAAGACTGTCACAAAAAACTGAAATTAAACACACAATGTAACTAAAACAGCTCTATACACATCATGAAATTACATGCAACTGGATCTATTTTTTTTCTTTCTTTTTTTTTTTTTAACAGACTACAGTTAGTATAACCTCTCCTAGAACCTATCTGTCTGTTTGAGAAAGTTATCTAGAGATATCAATAAGCATTAAATAGGACAAAAGAGATTCTGGTGCAGGTGTATAAATAAGACATAAGAAAACAATCCAAACTTTTTGATAGATGGTATTATGTGTACTTGTTTCATTTTTTCAGATGCAACATATGTTATTTGCCAGGATGATTAATTTGACTAAACTTATATATATATTCTCTTTCCATTCTTCCAGCCTTTACAGCCTGTAGTCACAGTCTTGATTTTGTTGTTGTTGCTCTTGGCTGGAGAGAGAGATTGTTTGTTTTACTTTTTTTTTTTTTTTTCCCAGAAATACTCATTATTAGCTACAGGCTCACTTTGACAACAAATTTGGAAGAAATGGAAAAATACAGATAAAGATTTACTAATTGATGCTATTACAAATCAAGACTTTAAAATTCCTAACAAAAGTTCACACATAACATAAAAATACTGAAAGGCTCTTTGACCACTCACTGACACTTTTTTTCAACTCTCACCACCCTCCAACTTTGCAGCTACTGACTGTTGCTTTAATGTCTTAAGTAAAGGCCTAATAATAAAGTTATCAAGAAGAAGATAATGAACAAACCATAACCTTTGCTTCATCAGCAGTATGAAAATACCAGAAACTTTCTTTTTGAAAATTAAGAATAATAAATTTTTAAAAATACATATAATATTTGAAGTCATCTTTTGGAAATAACTGTAGAAGACTGGGAACTTCAAAGATACTAATGATCTGCTTTGGGCAATAAAATGAAATTAATTCACTTCTGTTTGACAAACAAGAATTATGAAACACTACACGAATACTATTTTACATAAAGATTAAAAGTGGTTGATAATGACAAATAAGACTTGATTTATTAACATATAGGCTTACGACATAGCTCTCTCTTTTTCTAAATCCAGTCTATACTCATGGTGTAGAAGAAACAGAGATCTTAGTTTAATTTGTATTTTAAAACCATACATTCATATAATAGTCCCCCCTTAACCATGGGGATAAGTCCCAGGATTCCCAGTGGAAGGCTAAAACTATGGATAATACCAAAGCCTATACATCCTATGTTTTTATCTACACATATATACCTACATTAAAGTTTAATTTTTAAATTGGGAAAGTAAGAGTTTAACAATGTTTAATAACACAATAGAACAATTATAAAAATATACCATAGTAAAAGTTATGTGAATGTAGTCTTTATTTCTGGAAATTTTCATTTTGGACTGCAGTTGTCAGAGGGTAATTGAACTCACACAAAGGAAACACGAAAAAGGGAGGACTACTGTATTTAAAGTATGGTTTTAAAACACTCGAAGAACCAAATCAGCCAGAAAAAAAGTCTTACTAAAATTAAACAGAAATATTTATCTAAGAACTTATAGATGCATGATCCTAAGAGGACAAAATGAAAAGAAACGCTAAGATAATAGTATATCATCATCCTATAGTCAACTGACTTCCTTTACAATCCACATGAACCAACGAAAATAAAATCTGCAACATGCAACTTATCCCTGAAAACACATTTCAAGGAATACAGATTGAGTATCCTTTACCAGAAATGCTTGGGGGACAGAAGTGAATTTTGGATTTTTTCAGATTTTGAAATATTTGCATATATCATAATTAGATATCTTGAGAATGAGACCCAAATCTAAACAGAAAATTCACTTATGTTTCATATACATTTTATACACATAGCATGAAGGTAATTTTTTATATATTTCTTATAATTTTGTGCATGAAACAAAGTTTTGTATTTTGTTGTGGATTGTCACATGAAGTGTTGAAATTTTTCACTTCTGGCATCATGTTGGTGCTCAAAGTTTTAGATTTTGGAGTATTTTGGCTTTTGAATTTTTTCAGATTAGGAATGCTCAACCTGTATAACAGTATTATAATAGTAAAGTTAAATTAAGTTCTTACATTAAAATTTTTTAAATTTACAATTTAAAAATTATTTTAAATGTAAGCATTAAAAATTAAAATTTCATCACCCAGGTATTAAGCCTAGTACCCATTAATTATAACAAATCCCCATGAAGAGAGATCCAAGATGGCTGATCACTAGCAGCTCGGGATTGTAGCTCCCACTGAAAACGCAAAGAACGAGAGGACGCCACACCTTTACATGAATTCTTGTTGCTCACGCACCAGGAGATTCCCAGTGGAGGAGCCCCACGGGTCGCCAGCGCGACTCTTGTGACCGGCGAGGCGGCTTTGCCGGCGCCTCGGAGCGTCGGTTCTTGGTGCAGAGTCAGAAAGGCACCATCCATCTTAACGCCGCTGATTTGGTCGGCGCAGTGGGTTGCTCAGATTTCGGCACTGAGAATCAATAAGTTGGACGTCCACTCAGAAACCCAATTACAAAGACGGTAATTATAAAGACCACAGATGGATAAATCTACAACGAAGGGAAGAAAACAGTCAAAAAAGGCTGAGAATACCCAAGATCAGAACGCCTCTCCCTCACCAAGGGATCCCAGTTCCTCATCAGCAACGAAACAAGGCTTGATGGAGAACGAGTGTGTTCCAATTACAGAAGCAGGCTTCAAAACGTGGATAATAAGAAACTCCTGTGAATTAAAAGAACTTATGCTAACACAATCTAAAGAAACTAAGAACTTTGAAAAAAGGTTTGACGAAATGTCAACAAGAATACACAATTTAGAGAGGAAAATAAGTGAATTGATGGAGCTGAAAAACAGAGTACGAGAAGTACGTGAAGTATGCACAAGTTTTAACAGCCGAATTGATCAAGCAGAAGAAAGGATATCAGAGGTCGAAGACCAACTCAATGAAATAAAACAAGAAGACAAGATTAGAGAAAAAAGGATAAAAAGGAATGAGCAAAGTCTCCAAGAAATATGGGACTATGTGAAAAGACCTAATCTACGCTTGATAGGTGTACCTGAATGTGACGAAGAGAATGAATCCAAGCTGGAAAATATGCTTCAGGATATTATTCAGGAAAATTTTCCCAACTTAGTAAGGCAGGATAATATTCAACTCCAGGTAATACAGAGAACACCACAAAGATATTCCTCAAGAAGAGCAACTCCAAGGCACATAATCGTCAGATTCACCAGGGTTGAAATGAAGGAGAAAATACTAAGGGCAGCCAGAGAGAAAGGTCAGGTTACCCACAAAGGGAAGCCTATCAGACTCACAGCAGATCTCTCAGCAGAAACCCTACAAGCCAGAAGAGAGTGGGGACCAATATTCAACATCCTTAAAGAAAAGAACTTTCAACCAAGAATTTTACATCCAGTCAAACTAAGCTTCATAAGTGAAGGAAAAATAAAGTTTTTTGTGAACAAGCAAGCACTCAGAGAATTCATCACCACCAGGCCTGCTTTACAAGAGCTTCTGAAAGAACCACTACACATAGAAAGGAACAAACAGTATCAGCCTTTCTAAAAAATATCAAAAAGTAAAAAACATGAATATAATGAAGAATTTACATCAACTAATGGGCAAAATAGCCAGCTAATATTAAATGACAGTATTAAACTCACATATATCATTATCAATTCTAAATTTAAATTGACTAAATTCCTCAATTCAAAGACAGGCAATTCGGACAAAAAACTAAAACTGTATGCTGCATCCAGACCCATCTCACATTCAAGGATACACAAAGACTCAAAACAAAGGATGGAGAGAGACTTACCAAAACCAACCAGAGAGCAAAAATAAATAAATAAAAAGCAGAAGTTACAATTTTTGCCTCTGATAAAATAGTATTTAAAGCAACAAAGATCAAAAGAAGCAAAGAAGGACATTATATAATGATAAAAGAATTAATGCAATAACAAGAAGAGTTAAAGGTCCTAAATATACACGCACCCAATACAGGAATACCCAGACATACAAGACTTATAAAGAGACTTAGACTCCCACACAATAATAGTGGGAGACTTCAACATTAATATTAGACAGATCAATGAGACAGAAAATTAATAACGATATCCAGGACTTGAACTCAGATCTGGAACAAGTAAACGTAATTAACATTTATAGAACTCTCCACTTTACACAAAATATACACTCTTATCAGTACCACATCATATCAACTTAGAAGTTTAAA